TGAATAAGTACACACATTTTTGAAATCTAAAGCCACAAGTGGTGTTGTAGTCATCTTACCTAATTTTACAGGAAAGCCTGGTGGAAGCTTCATTTGAACAAATTCTCTAAGTTTGTTAAAGTGCTTGAAGGGTGCAATTACTTCTAAAACATTCAACAATCTGAAAAGGAAAACAGATTTCATTGCAAATCCTTGTTTCACAAGCTTTCTCTCTAGAAAAGATAAAAATGACCCAAAGAGGAGGGTGATAAAAAAGGAGCTGAAAAATTAAATCATGCTTATGTATCTATCTCCTTAGAGCTTCAATATCTGCATCTTCACATTCAGTTCTTAGTGATCCATATCATATTACCACAGGCGCACAAATAAACATCCCAGGTATTAATTTCTCGTCCTTATTTTACACAAGGGACTGAAGCAGACAGTACCTTCTGTCCTTTCTCCACAGACATATGGAACCTGACATGGTTTTGCATTGGTTTAGAGGACGTAACCTCATGCTAAAACTTGTTATGCGCAAAAACGTTTTAGAATTCTGTGGAATCAGGCACATCAGTACTGTGACAAGTTAATGATAAACCTGGTCAAACCTCTGGTCTTACCAAGGAAGATAAGTGCTTGGCTCTTCCAACAACAGGCACACCAGCAATGAGGTCTCTAATTTTAACAGTTTACTTCCTTAATGGCACGACTTCATTCACAGATTTTAAACTGCCCAATTCCCATATCTGAAGATATGAAGAATTTTGCAGTTCATAAACACATTAAAACAATTCCTACATATAAATAACATTCATGGACAATAACTTTGACTTACGATTCAATTCCTAAGGGAAATTCCTGGCTCATAGCTATTGTGGCTTTAAAGGTTTTCTTGCTTTCTTTGCAGACCAGCTCTCTACCCAGATGAGGAGCTCTGTAAGGGGTAGGGGAGAAAGACAGAGTCAGTTATTCTCTCAGTGAAACCTCAGTTTTAAAGGAAGGCAGACAGACTCAGGTTTGGAAATGTCGGGAAAGAATCCCTACAATAAAGCAAATACTTTAAAAGTAAAAGCTGTGATTAGTAAAGATGAGTCAGTAACCATCTTAATTTAGATTACTATGAGTTCTGCTAAATCAGGAGACAAGACAAAAACAGTTAGGGAAATGACTTAAGAAAAATCTTGAAACAATTCCTCGTAAACATTATAATGATAAACACTATAGAAAGACATGACAACTACCCAGAAATGTATGCAGCTGGTTTCAGATGTTAATGAAAATAGTCTATATGTGAACAAAGTATCAAGTTGAACTAGAAAAAGGTTAATTTGCTTTTCAGCCTAAAACATGAGACAATCTCAGAGAAAGTGGAAAAGTTACTCTACTATCACTAGAAGGCAATACTGGAAAACACAGGACAGAAAATTCTATTACAGAAGAGGAACAGATAGATAACAAGACAACTAATCTTTTCCTCTTTTGCTTTATATTAGCTAGAAACCTAGATTTCCCATTAAACTCCCTTCAGTTAATCAGATTATTGAACAAAGTGAAACCTTATATACATACATATTTCTGACACCGTAGTCATAGCTGTTCCAAGCATAACCTATTTATTCTGCTTGAATATTCATCTCATCTCAAATACATTAAAAATTAAAATTAGTTTAAAAGAAAAAAAATAACCAAAAAACCAAAACAGATCCATGTGCTTTTTCAGTAAGTCTGTACTGTAATATTCCCTGGTGACATCTGACTATAGGCTAGTCTAATGTCTTCGGAGAAAGGGCTTTTATCATTGTTACTTATGTGACACACTCAGTACATTTTTTGGTCCTTCTACATTCAACAGCTAGACAGCAGTCCTACAAAATAAACTCAACTGCTTGCATCTTCTACAAATGAATCTACTGTAAATTAAGTTATAGCTGTGTGCTACTTAGTTACACACCTAGAGGACAGTATCTTGCAAAGATCTAGCCAGTACTAGGAGATCTGTACGTTTTTGCATTCCAGAAGTGTGCATTTTTGTACACTCCCACTACAGTTCCATTAAATCGTAAAATTTTAAACATGGTGAATTGGATTATTTATGACAGTCATGAATAAAGATAAATGAATTACAGCAATGAGTTTGTCAGAAAATCTTCCTTAAAAAAAAAAAAAAAGAGCCAGCTTAGATGTGGATATTTTCAAAATGTTTACATTTCAAGCCATGGGTATCAGGTAGACACCTATCCAATATTTTTATCACCAGCTGATGCTAAAAAAAAAAGCCAGTTTAGATGTGGATATTTTCAAAATGTTTAAATTTCAAGCCATGGGTATCAGGTAGACAGCTATCCAATATTTTTATCACCAGCTGATGCAATAATACTGTTCACATATACAGGTATCAGCTTCCCAGCCAGCGTACTGAAGAATGTTAAACATCTGAGACACCAAACCTCATGTTCCTGTCTCCAAAAACTATAAACAAAAAGCACCCATGAACTAGAGAACACACACACACACACACCTCCCCCCCCCAACAAGACACAAAAACCTCTCAACTCCAAACCAATGATCTACAGGTCTCTATGGACATCAATATCAACAAACCAAAAATACTTACTTTCCATTTTCAGCAGATATGTACTCTTCCCACGTAATTGTATTGGGTGATGGCGGAGTAAGTGACTGCCGTCTGACAGGCTGTTCAGAAAAACATGTCTTAGCTGTTTATCTTTCCTTATATTCTCTTAGAATTTTGCCATTGAAAAGATACAACTGCACTTCAATTCTACAAAGAACAGCAATATAGTCTATCCAGTTTGTAGCTGGTACTTCACTGGGCTTTTCCATCTCCTGCTCTTGCTTTCATAATGTCCATTTAGGTATCTGGCCTCAAACTGCATTTTACACAGAAGTTGGCTGTTTTAATACATCAGTTAATCAGTTAATTCAAGTGTCTGAATGACAAGTAACAAAGCACAAGCTAATACAGAAATAAATTAATCATTTTTAAAAGGCTGTATGCATGCTCCCAGATGATGTCTGGCTCATTCTGAATAGCTCTTGATTTCATGGTGATAATAACAGGCTTAGTTCCATTTTAATCAAGCTAAAGGAAAACATGACTGAAAAGAAAACCAGAAAGGCATTCTAAACAGTTGGTCTAAAAGAAGTTAAAGTGATTTGCCACAGCCAAAACCATCATCTTTTACTAAGAGACAAATTAAGACTGAAAGATCCAATATAATCACAAAAATTCCTCAATGTGTGCACTAATCAGGATAATTCATTAACATATCACCATGATTATACTTGTAGATCATACTTACTATTTTAAAATTAAGACAATCAAAATAGAACAAAAACATTTTCTATAGATTTTGCTAAATGACTGGCGTGAAAGATTATTCTCCCAAGCAAAAATTCACATACTGTGAAGAATTACTCAAGTATACCTCAAAATTTTGTTCCATTAAGTTGCCACCTTTACTCAGGCTCTCCATGATAGCTTTATTTCGAAGAATATCCTCCTCACTGAGATGTTCTCTTCTTTTCCTTGATTCTAATACAAGTCCATTAACCAAGTAGAAATCTGCCAAAAAGTTTCCTACTCTTTCCTGTATGAAAAGAATTGGACATTAATGACTCACAGAAGACAAAATAAAAACATTTAAATTCTTGTATATCCAAAGAATTGCACTTCAGCGCACTAAGATTTGAAATGTTGGAATTTACACAACCAACCACACGAGCCATCAGCGGACAATCCCGGTAAGATATGTACAGCACAAATGCAAGAACTCCATCAAGAAGAGATACTTCATATCAACGAAAACTTTTAAGACAGAAAAGATTGTTTAAGAATTTAAGAGCGGTCAGGGAAAAACTAACTAAAATGCCCTTCAACAGCAAGCTGTGTTAAAGGATAATTTACACATGTAGAATATGAATTCGGTATTCAAAAAGAAAAAGCTCTGACAAAAACTTGTGATGAATGGCACTACCTGAACAGATCCAGATGAAAACAAAAAAATCCTTCAGAGCTTGTCACGAGATAGCAATTTCCTACTCAAAGAAGTTCGGACAGTGGCCATTTCAATTTTTTGACAGCTGAGAACTTGTACCTCAGTCAGACAGGTAACATGGAAAGGAACACCCAAAGGAAACTACCCAGAACACTCACATCTTCCTGCATTTCTCTGACACAGGAGTGCACAGAATCCTTACTGCATGCCCTGGAATTAATTTGCAGAGACCATATACTCCTACAGTAAAGTAATTTTCAGTTCAACCTGTTCTCCTCCCTGCCCAATAGCTACAGTTTGTTATCTTTCTTCCAGCCTACTTTCTTCTTATGAAGGCAGTCCATCATACATATTCTATGTGGTCAAACTAGCGACAACTGTGGGGCATAGGGAGAGATATTTTTCCTCCATCCTGAACATCTTATTCTTTTACTCCTTATTTCTTCCCAATCACATCATCATAAGTTGGCTGAACTATTTTGTCTCCAGTAATGCAGGCTGTGAAATTTTCTTCCAGCTTACTGTTTTGTCTTCTCGAAAAAGCCATCCTGTTTGGGCACGTGTGAAGGTAATTGATTTGGTTGATAATGTTGCTGAGTAAATATCACTGCTCATCAAAATGTCAACTTCTTCTTCTGTTTCCATCTCAGATTCCTAGAAGAAAAATTTCCAAATACTGAATAGAACTTAATAATAACGGCTACTTCCTCTGATGTGAAGTAAAAGCTTGAGGTTATTTCACACTCCACATTCACACAGAACTTTACCTCATGATGTATTCGCTGGTAAACTTTTTGTTCATTGTCTAAAACTACAAAAGATTCAGAGGGTGCGGCATCACCATTAAAAATGAAGCTTAAATCCCCTCGTTGGCACTTCATGTCAGTAAAATCTATGAGAGTTGTGTCCAGCCTGTGAAAAATATACCAATACTTTAAAAGAAGTTACCCATAAACACTCAAACACACTAGTAAGTTCAGTTTGCAAGCAGACGCTTGCTTTTTTTTTTTTTTTTTTTTTGTAATCACAACAAAACACCCTAAGGCCTAAGTTTTCATAGAATATTTCATAAATGAAGCCTGGATGCAGAAATAAAAAAAATTGCTATTAACAATTAGTAAGTTTCACATTATAACATCTCTACCATTATAAATGTACTCCAAACTGTTCTTATACTACATAGGAAAAGTTTTCTTCAGAAAACGTTATTTCCAAACCGCCAGCATGAGGAAGTGACAGAGTTTATATAGCTGGTATGTGGTACACATTGAGAAATACAACTCCTCCATGGGATCAGCATCCTATTCTACAAGAAGCAGCCACTGATTTGAGTAACAGTATTAGGACATGACCCAAATTAGGAAGAAGACTAAGAAACAGACTCATTTTTTTTATTTGACTTATTTTAGTTGCTATTTCTGTTTTCCCTCCCCACCAACACAAAAGAAATGCTTCTGCTGACCTGAATAACTAGAAGATGGAGGCAAGGACAAAGATGTCTCTAGCAAGTCATATCCGCTACTCCCAGAATATTTACTTCTTTACCAAAGCTGGTTAAAGAACCTGAACTTAGTGACCACTTCAGCTCTAAGGGGTGATTGCTTAAGGCTCATCATATATGGCCTCTGATTTCAAGAAACAATCTGTAGCTATTTCCACCCAGGGCCAGTCTCGTAACTGCCTTGTACAAGCAGAGCACACAGGAACGGTCTCAGACTCAAATTTGTCCTAAAAAGTCCGTTCACACACCTATGCTAACAGCTTTACCAGAACAAAATTTTCTAAAGATTGAACCTTCTGAAACATATTATTGACTTTCTGTTTGTTTAACACTTGGGAATCTAAAGAAAAAGACAGAAAATACATTTGAATCCAAAACCCCAAACTAAACCAGTTAAAGAGCTGAGCTTGGAAAGACTCCTGAAAGCACTCCATTGAGTCTGTGAATCTGTCACATTACATATTTTAAAAAGAGAAACTATGCAGCTTTTTTTACTACATAGACTGGAGCAGCAACATTTCTCCACAAACTACTGATCGCTCATTTATTTGAAATTGTGTTAAAAATAGCAAATTCCTATTTTTCAATTAATTATTGTCACATCTGGTAGATAAAGCCTTATATAGCTTAGTTGTTTTGGCTTTATATTTTAAGTGACTCAGGAACTGAAGTCAAATTCAGATCGATAGAGAAAAAAAGACAGTCTGAAGTTCAAACCACTTCTTGTCTCTAAACATCAATGTACAAACACAAGGCTGTTTCACAAACATCTGTAGACTCCTCAGGGGTTTCCTTCAGACCACAGTGGAATCCAGCATTTTCACTAACATGCAGATATTTACAACTTACATAACTCACACTGTAAAATCAGTACTTACCTGATATTTATACCTTGTTTGTGTATTTTACATGCATCAGAAGGCAGAATTCGGGAAAGTAAAGGCACTAAGAGTAGGGAGAGAGAATACAGTTAGGAAATGGAGGTTCCTCTGCAAAGTATTTCTATTAAAATTATACATCAGTTTGAATCTTGATGTATTTTAATACAAATACAGCATACTCATTTTCCATCATGATCTCAATCCAAATACAACTGACTAATACCAGGGTTATTTCTATTCAATAACTGCAAAACTTATTTGCAATTGTACAGGTCACTTTCAGCATCAGGACGTAATTTAAAATGTCCTCAGCCACAGCTAAATCATTTATAAATTCTAGTAACTCATTTAGTTCTATGATTTGAAAGTTCACTTATATATTGTACCAACTGAAAGCCTAGCTACAATTAAAGCAGAACATCCACAAGCAGAAACCAAAATCCAACGCACTAAGCTTAAAACATCAGCAAACATTAAACCACCAGTGGAACTGAGAGTCAGTATAGTATTATGAGATGGATATACGAGACTGCACCTGTCCTTATTCTAAAAACGACCGTTTGCTTTATAGCAATAAAACCAGTTCAACACAATGGCATTTGAACACTTTCTTCAAAATGACATACCAAGACTTAAGACCACCTGGAAAACATAATTAGCCTAGAAGATCAATAATTAGGACGGAGGCACTGCCCAGAGCACCTTCTTCCCTTCAAGAAAGAGAATACGTAGAAAAAAACTAAATAACGTATACAGAGGCACAGTGAGACTCCTAGAGAAGAGGACCCCTAGAAGTTGGCTTTACCTCTGGCATCGCTTTTTCTGTGTGAGGTCATCGACCACCATCATACTCTGCAAGTCAGGCTGCAGTCTCATCACTAAGCAACATCTTATCTTACTTCATGCCTAGCCCTACTATTTTTTATGCTGACTCTTCCACGAGAAAGTCCACTCTCTAAATGTGCAGCACACAGTAGGCCACACAGAAAAGTGAAGTGTTTGTTCCGTATCTGTTCGACGTTTGATAGCAACCTGGCTGCTCACTCCTCCTCTGAATATTGAAAGAGGCATACAGTGCAGCAAATACTTCGACTATGCCTATATGAAAGTATACCAAATTACTAACTTAAATGTCAAGCAGTAACAGAAGGTATCACTTCTGACGTTTTGACATTATAGAGACACACTGATCATCATTAATACATTTTTGCTAATTTATTTGATTTTTCTTCTACAGATGAGGTGGAAATTGAGAAACCTCTAAACCTTATACAGTCACACAAAAGAACAATTAAGGTGAAGCTAGGGTTTGAAGAACCTACCACATAGTTGCACTTAACTGACAGTCACCATTCAGAGTACAGCCTTAAATTCAGGAAATTAAATGCCCCAAGTCCAGTTACTCAACTAAATTGTTCAAACCACTGCTCTGTAGTGACACCAATTGACCAGAAACATTTTAATATTCTATCCTTCTAATAACCAATTTCTTAAAGTAAACAACAGCTTGTTCCCCCCAATATTGTGTCACTGGATTACAGAATAGACTTCAGCTCCGAAAATGAATAAGCAAAAACAATTCAGAAAAAAAGTTGTCTGTCCTTTCTTTGTAACTTAGATCTTGAGAACTGGACTGTGAACTTTCCAACATGCAAACCAGAAGAGAATTTAAGCTTGAGAGAACAAGTGTGTTGAAGACTGATTACATTATCTCCCTGTGAAAGGGATATGTAATTGCTTACCCCAACTTTGAAAATCCCAGTGAAGCTCTAGATAGAAGTCACCTAGCTGAGATGAAAAGAAGAATACATTAATAAGCTTTTTAGTCCAAATGGCAACTGTAAAATTTGCTGGAAAACAGGCAGAAGTTGTGTTTTGCCAAAGAAAACTTTTCCTCTAATGTTAGTATTTGAATTTATACTGAACTTAAACATTTCTGAAGCTTTAATTAGAGTAGAATCAATAATGACAAAACTACACAACTGCGTAAATAATAATTTACACAGCTATTAAGCTATGGATTGTTAAAGGATTTATTGTATATATGTGTTTTTTTAAAAAATAAAAATATCTACGGAGCTCTGCTTGCTTTGATTGATCACATCCAACCCCATGGAAATGTATGTTCTGGCTTAAATTAATGACTCAAGTTTCAGCTAGGAGTATTCACATACACAAATCGCAGTTTGCCTTCTAGAAATACGCTGAAGTCATTACATAAAAATTTGTCTACCTCTATAAACACATGCCAGCCAATTCTTTTAAACTGTATGCAAAGCAAAAGCAAAGTAAGGGATGACTTGGTTAAAATTAGCAAATGTTGGTAATACACTGAGGTAGCCACATAACTCCAGACGACGCAAGAAGAAAAACACGCAACTCTAGGCCAGGTCTTACACCCGCAGGAACAAGGAACAGCAGAGCTGTTTTAGTAAGGTTGTGTCTGCTTTCTGTTTGCTCTCACACAAAAAACGAAAGCTTTTCACTTCTAGACAGACAGCAGTTTGGGTTTGGTTTTTTTTTTTCCTTGGATCAATGAAAAACGTAGGAACATTGGTAGGGCATATTCATAGAGTGTATCAGTGATGCAGTTCAGCTCAACTTTTCAGGTGTATTGTTTAATTAACTTAAGATAAACAGTTGGTTTTCTACAAACCCATTCATATTTTACCACTTGACTAGGCAGGAGAAGCTCACCTCACCTAAGGGGAAATAAACACCTGCGTTTTATAACCACAGTTATAGCACACGAGCAGGAGTCTGCAATGGAGGAAACTGAGCTTTTCTTCTTGGTTTCCCTAAACTGAGGGATGTTTCACTGTGCTCAAGAAGAATTGGCTGCTGCATGTAGATGGCGAATTAAACCAAAAATCTCTTTCATTACTAAGCAAGAAAAGAAAGTGTCATTCATGACTGGTGACTAAACAAAACCAGTAAATTATTCACCAAAACAAGAGATTTAAGAAAGGTTTAAAAATCAAAGGAAATAAATACAGCTTAAAAATACATTCTTTAACTTTTAGATTGCAAAGACAACTAGCAGGTCTGTCTTATATAAAACTTTCTATTTGAATTTCTACAAGTTGAGAAGGAAGTACTATCTTAAAAACATACATGATTCTGTGACCCCTTAAAACGGACACTGTAATCCAAGATCGCTATTAAGAGCAAAAGAGATCTGTAAAAGCAAGTAAAAAACCTTTTTTACAGTTTGCGAGAGCACCCATACTAAGAACATAAGCCACTGCTTTCCATCACGATCTGGTTTTGTCAACACAACTGCCTTGAACTTACCTCTTTCAGGGCTTTTAATAATCGAGGTCGCTTTTCTTCAACACTTTCCCTGGACTGCTGTTTAAGCTTCCTTAGGAGTGCTGTAACTAAACAGAAGTTAACTATAAGGTAAATCTACTCTATTTGCTTGTTAATTACACGTTAGTGTCATTATTTGACATCTTAAGAAGAAAAAAAAAAAATGCAAACGTAACATTTCATCAGACTTTGGCGAAATTCACTTCAAGTTATAGTAATTATACAGAGCTACTCTGATCACAACAGCAAGAAAAGCCTCAATAATTGTTTATAACATAAAGCATACAATCATGTCAAGAGGTCTTTTGCACACGTATTAGTATACATGTGTGCTCACATGTTTATTATTGAACATGAGCCTATAGATTGCGTAACATCTACTCCCACTGAGAAAATTCTTTAGTAGTGAGGAGGTGACATGCAGAATGTTGTTAGTGTATTGCAAACTAGTGCACTAATATATTAATAATATATTAACATATATAAAATACATAATGAGTTTTCTGCTATGGGACACGGTAATACCAAATAGTATTAACATCTACTAGTGAGTAGCAGCAGAATCATTCTCCTTTTACTGCTGCATGTCTGAAGTGAATAAGTAATCCCTTTATTTGCCTACTGGCCTGATGAGATGCAACATAAAAGCAATATCCCATTGCCAACCGATATATCAAATATACATTTGACCACATGGAGCAGTGCCAATTAGATGGTCCCGTACAGCTAAAATCCATTCTGACCTCACAACTCCAATTTTAAATACACAATGCTAGTTTATAGCTTTTACAATCACTTTAAGCAAAATCTTTACTTAGCATTATGAATTTTAATTCAATTTCTTTCTTAGCAAGGAAATGGACATGCGTAGAGTTTGTCGTACCATATTTAGACATAAAAAAGTTCAGCTGATTAAGATAAACTCTTCAGAGAGGTAATACAGGAGTATTATAAAAACGCCTAGCTTGAAAACCTTTGTTTTCCTGTTCTGAATGAGGCCTCAATTTCTGATTAATTGGGAAGCAGAGGTTCTTACTCATTTGTCTGTCTCCATAGCTGATGGCTTCTGCAAGAGGGCTCCATCCCTGAGCATTTTTCACCTTTACTGGAGCATTATGGGCTAAAAGCAAGTGGGCACATTCTGTAACAAAATAGTAATAATTATTTACAGTAAACATCAAGGATGCAGCAATATCACTCTTAATAAAGGAAACAACAATAAAGCAAAAGTAGTAGATATTCAATATATTAAACAGGTTATAAAACCCATACCTGGATTCCGACTCAAACTTTAAACAAACAAAAACCGTTTATGTAAGTACTTAATGGCAATCCCCTGTTAAATATCGGAACATTAAAACATAATTGGTGATCAACCACCAATTACATAACCACTGAAGAAATGTCCCTTCCACTTCTTGTGTTTTGCTTTTTATAAAGCTGTATTTCTGTATGTGTATATACACGCACACAACTATGTCACAAATATTTTTAAAAGGTCACATCAGCTCTCTCTACTTAATGCACAAAACCAGGTACCAAGACAGACTCCATGCTCTTCCACACGTGGAAGTTGTGCACCGTCTTCCCCCTCTCTATCTCAACCTCCTTCGCCCAAAGGTCACTGGGGAACTGATTTGCTACAAACAGGCATGGAGACAGACTTTAGGCAACTCTTGAGACCATGGTGCGTATGGGCGGCAGAGACAAAGCTGTGGCACTAACACATCCCGATGTGCTGAACATCTTGTGGTAACATGGCATTTAAAGTGGGCAAACAAGCTCACTCTGACCTAGGAAAGCCTCAGAACATGTGCATAACTGGCTGTACAACAAGTAACAGGTATCGTAGGACTAACAGCGTGGCTATCTGGAGTACTAACACAGCACACAACTCATAGTCCTGTGCTCCATCAACAGAGATCTACACTTGTAACGTGCTACATTTTTCATCAACAGCATCAGTAACAGCACGCATCAATGCAACCCCTGACACTCAGCATGCACACGCTGAGCCGATACAGCAACGCCAACATCTCATCAAAGCCACACAAGTTCTTAGTGGAGTCACAGCCCAACTGGCATTCCCTTCTCTGTCTGCAGGTAAAAGGTGATGGTAGAATGACAAATAGTCCTTAAAATTAAGCAGTGAAGAAAGCTTTCAGTGTTCCCATGTTTTGAATAAGCTGCCCTCATTTGAAACGGTTCTCCAGTTTCTAACTACAGAAAGTTTCCTCACCGCATCTCATTAAAATCAACCTGACCCATTTGCAAATGACAGGGCAGCACCAAGCTGGAGCTGTCGGCTGAAGAAATGTCTCATTCCGAACAGGATGGGCAGGCATGATGGACAGAGGAACTTCTGGGATCCTTCTCCTACTAGAGGTGTCAGAGGAAACCGTACCAGTCATTCCAGATACAACAATCGTGAGTCACTGGCAAGCACAGTGTTTGGAAAAGAAGAGATATTTCACTGGTGAATATACTATCTTTTGTGGTAAACAAACAAAAGCCCTGACTACTTTGTCAGCACACACACAGAGGTATTTTTATGGTTGCTTAAATATAGCACCTAACACAATAACAACACTGTACAGGGAGCAGGCAAATAAACTTGCATTTACCAGCAACATTACATTTTCAGTTAAACAAACAGGATGTAAATTCACCCTGCACTTCAGAAAAGACTGGCTGTAATGCTGCTATGTACAGCTGAACAGTCCACATGCATCACCCTGGACAGAAAAGTGACCTTCAATATCAGTGAGACAGACTAACAAGGTAGGAAAGGACCTGGGGTTCTTGGTGGATCAATGACTACGCAGGATTCAGAGTGGAAGCAGTAAAAGCAGGTATTGTGCTGGATATCATGCACAAAGAGCCCTGCTCTAGGCAAGCTAGACAAAGGCTCACCACAAGCACCCTAAAGAATTTAGGGCTTTACACACAGGACGACTGACTATCTGGAAAGAAGCCACAAGTGAACTGCAAACTGAAATCTAAAACGTGCAGGCAGTGAGAAAAGCCGTAAAGGGAAGAAATGCTGCTCCTTTCCTCGCTATACTATACACAAGGATAACTCATATTCAAGGAATCTGTCAGCACTGAATAGATTGCTTTTTATCCTACAGCTGAAACACAAAATAACCAAATTTTAAGAGAGACTTAGAATAAATATTCAACCGTACTGAATTAAAGTTGGTAAACTCTTTTCTATCAGTTTTATTACAAGCAGCACCTTTGATCAAAATTGTTTGTATTTATTAATGTAGTATGATACTGTTGTAGCTATATGGAAGGTTTATAACAGCTAATTGCCTTTTCACCAAACCCACACAACCCCTTCTACACCCAACAGCGCAAAACTTGTAAATATTAACTAATGACCGTGACAAACTAAAGCTTCAAACAAACACTGCAATAAGGCACAGCAGAAGTCATATACATTGCTGATCGTCATTGCCTGGAAACATGGAGTAAGTATTTACAAAACTAAAATCTACCTTACAAAGGAAAATGCCTTATTTAAGGCTGAGAAACTAAAGAAATGCTTCTGCCTCTGTTTCCTTCTGTTATTCCAAGCCTCTAGTCTAGGACCCTCACTGGAAAACAGCAGTTCTAGTAAAGCACCATTTTTCACAAGTTGAAGAAGCCTCCTATCTGTGACTTCTAGCAGGCAGGCACTTGGAAAACATATTTGCCTCACTGCTGTCCCCAAAAGTTTTTGCATATCTTCTTTTGCCCTTTTTTTTTTTTTTCATTTGTTTAAAAAGTATCACAAGGTAGATCAATATTGCCAGATTCCAGCAAGCCCTACTGCTGCTTCTTCTCCCAAGCCACCCCTCTTCCTTCCTCCTTCAAAATTACTTCCCATTCTAACCGTCAATTATCTTAGATCACTTCATAGGTATTATCAAAACATCCTAAGACAACTTACTGCATTTCCTGCATTCCCCTCTCCAAACCTGCCAGGTGTTTTGGTTAACAGCAGCTCTCTCACGGAGCAGTACCACGTACCAGGCACAGGACTCACGGCGGAATGAAACCAAGCCATTCTTGTATCAGCAGTGAAAAAGAATTTTATTGTCAGAGACTGAACAATCATACTCCAGGTTTCTTCCCAGTCTTGAAACATGTCTACTTCTATACTTTCTATTTGAAGCAGAAATTTAAATCCTGTGCCTTGAAATTCTGCTGTAAAGAAACCCTCGAAGGGCATCTGGAAAGATCAGAGCCATTGTGAATGAACAGGCTGCACAGCCCCGTGGGCTGGCCTGTGCCCCGCGTAGGGCAGCCCTGACACACAAAGAAATAGCTAGGCAGCGAGTCAGAAATTCGAATCGAGTGACTGAAGGAGCGGGCAAAACGCAGCTGAGTGATTACATTTCCACTCACAGAGTCATTTTATTCTACAGGATGTTACTCTGATTCACTTCACTGGGAAAAAGCTAAATGGGGTTGCTCAACACCTCTAGCAAGCAAATCAGCAAAAAACACAGTGACGCTAATAACCAGAAAAGTGTTGACAAAGGGTATCATCACACAAACAGAAATTAATAACCCTTCTGTACCATGAATTAATTGCACATTAAAACACAGACCTGCCTGGATCAAGTCCCCTGCCTACGCATACTGAGTATATCCCTCTGCTTCAGCTGCCTGGACACAAAGGGGATGCAGGCATGCATATGCTTGCCTCCGCCGCTTAGAGTTGTTTCTCAATCTTCTATGATATTCCAAGTTTCCCAATTTCCTTCTAACTCTGCAAAAAGCGAGGAGCTGGGTCCACCCATTGTTCTTGTTCTAGGCTCATAAAGAGTCCAACTGCTACTCCTTCCCACCCTACCTCGTTCGCTACCTAGCTCCTTGATTTTGTCCTAAAGAACAGCTCTCATTTCTTCTCCAACTTTTCTCTTCTAAATCCGCGTGGCAGCTTCTCTTCAGAAAACCTCAACTTTGAACTAGCTTGAAAAACAAGAGGAAACACACGTTCAGGAAAACTGAAAAAAAAAAAAACCAACACCTTTTTTTCCTCTTGCCCCGAAGTCTTCAGAATAATTTAAGAGCTAACAAAATTGATGGTTTTACCTACCTTTATGTCCCAACATCACAGCAAGATGTAAAGGAGTGTTTCCTAAAATAAAGAATAGAAATAAAAAGATATTAGATTCAAGGTAACAGAATGCATTGCAATTCCTTCAGGCATTCACGCATACAGCTCAAACGTTACGTGTTAAGAAACTTCAGTTACACGACCTGACCAAGGAACATGCTAAAATACACCAGAGCGGTTACATTTTCCTAAGCAAGCATTTGGATTATGCTTGTTAAAATAAATATAACTGAAACTCATTTCATGGGCCAAGAGAGCTTTTTTTTTAATGACATCTTGAAACCGACTCCAGCCAAAGAGGTCCAATTGTATCTTCAAGAGAGAGAGATAACCCAAACCTCTACGCTTATCGTAGTCTGAAAAGTCTGGTATTTTACAAAGAATGACATATCTAGGTTAAAAGCTACTCAAAGATATGATACTGATTAAAATTTTAAGAGCCTATTTTATTAATTTTTCAAAGATTTAGTACAAAACTTTTACTAATACAGTATTGGGCAGATTGCGAAGTAACAGTAACTTCGCTACAAAAAAGCCTTTTGGTTATTTTAATGTCTTGTTTCCAAAGAAAGCTTTCGAGATTATTAGTGGATATTACAAAGATGACCCTGTTCTCCTGGCTACGCATATGACACATTTTGTACTTCTGTTCTTAAATATGCACTGTAAGGTACAGAGTTGTTTTTCTGGATTAATGCTGCTACCAGAACTCTGACGCATTTTATTTATGTAGCTTAAGGATGCAAAATTCTTCCATTTAACTGTATTACTCTGTTTATACGTTTAAACATTTTCTTAGTGGAGTTAACAGAAAAATTGCTGGAAAACAAATTTCTTCTGCAATTATAACAAATGCACTTGATTTTTAGGGTTACAGTGTCATGTTAGCAATAAGTACTTGCTACATGCAAAGGATGATGTACTGTACATCTAAAAGAAGCAAACCAAAACACCGAGAGGTTGCTACACCAAGTAATTGCCAGCATGCTATAGTATCGTGAAATCTCTGATCGAGATAGGCAAGCAGTCAGAGGCAGAGTTTCTAAGTGCTTTTGAATGAGCTATTCAACATGTAGTACAAATTATTCTTGCGGGTCACTAGCAACATCACAGACAGCTACATCCGAGTTCATTATGCACACTCTTAACTAAGCTAACCTCAAATTTTCTATTAATAGATTTTGTAACATCTGTGAGCCAAAACACAATTTAGAATACTGGATGCAGCCATTCTTTGTGCAGTGACTGAAATAACAACATTACTGAGGAACAAACTTGAGAATGAGCCAAACCATGTATTCAGAAAATTCAAATTATGCAAGCCAGGGGTAAAGATTTTCCTTACCTTAACAAGCACTTCAACAGGATATATATAAATAGCTCTACACTAAGTTTTCTCTTACCTTAATAAACCTTAAAATTTAAAAAAACCCACCCCATCTTTCAAATGGTGAATAAAAGAGCCAGGTATCTCCAGCAGCTATGACAGCTGGGTATAGCGGCAAGAAGCAACAACCCAAAAGCTAAGCAGGCCCCTGACAGCTTTCCTGAGAACTCTGTCGGATTTCATCCAGCCGACAATCAGAAAGAGCAGTAGTGTGATAACACACATCATTTCAAAACTCCTCTGGACAGGGTTCTGAGCAACCTGATTGAACTCGGGCGTTATCTCTGCTTTGAGCAGGAGGCTGCACTAGATCACCTCCAGAGAGATCTTCCAGCATAGATTTTTCGTTCACTCAACCATCATCTTCACACCAAAAAGCATGCAATTCAAAAATCAGATAGGAAACTTGGATACAGCAAACCAGGGGGAGAGGAAGAGGAGCATGCAGAAAAACAGACAGTGCAATAACCGATAAAGCACAGACACTAGAATCTATCAGTTCCAGAAGGAAAAAAAAGAAAAGAAAAAAAAAGCTATTTATGAGGAAGCTGAAGAGAGGTAACATCCTGCTTGCTGGATGTTTAGCCAGTAAGTCCCTGGCAAGGGGGAGTCTGAGGTTGAACAAACATCAGCGAGATAAAACAAGAGGTTAGCTGCTGTACCAAAGGGAGGGGAGCCACACTAACAGGTAAGCCAGGAAAGCACCTTTAGGAAAGGGGGTAAGAAGGAGAAGCAAGGCAAACACACAGAAAAGGGACACTGTGAAACTTTGAAAGAAACGCTCTAGTTCCTACCGCTCTGGACTACCTGGCCGCTGAGGCCTTTTTCTGACTGCCCGAGACAAAGTGCTCTCCAGACAACCCTTAACTCGGAGCAGCCAAGCCCGGCGAGCAGGGACGCAGCAGTGCACGGCTGCTCCGGGGAGCCGGCAGGACTGCGGATCGGGGGATCTAACGGCCTGCACACCGCACACCAAACCCTGTAATCTCACCTCCCTTTTTATTCCATCAAAATTCCACTGCTACTTTACAAAAATACCTCCTTGACCCCCTCCCCAAAGGAAAACAGTCTCGGCAACAGCTGAGACATGATGCCAGCATTGGCACATCCAAAAATCAAACCAGGAACAGCATTTTGCACGGTTGGAGATCTAACGGCCTGCACACCGCACACCAAACCCTGTAATCTCACCTCCCTTTTTATTCCATCAAAATTCCACTGCTACTTTACAAAAATACCTCCTTGACCCCCTCCCCAAAGGAAAACAGTCTCGGCAACAGCTGAGACATGATGCCAGCATTGGCACATCCAAAAATCAAACCAGGAACAGCATTTTGCACGGTTCCACCACTAGTCATCCCTCTTAAGACCTCATAAACCTGGGGAGGTCTTGATGCTCTCTTGGCCAAACAAAATGAGTTTTAGAAGTAGCAAATTTAACTCTGCCTTATCAAAATAAGCCATCCAAACTGTGTAAGGTTGTAGGTCACCAAAGGAAGAAATTATGGTGAGGGATCACTCAGCTCATAGAACGCCTCCATGTAATCTTCAGGTTCTTCCCCCAGCCAGAGAAAGGGAAGCGCTGTTCAAGCAGAAAGCCTCCTCTTCAGTCTAATCATAGTCTTACGCAGAGGTAAGCTTTCGCTCTGCCCAGGAAAACTGAGGGAAGACAAATGCCTTGAAAAACAGGAGACCAGTGCTGCCACAGCCTCCCATCTAGCAACACCTGCCCACCCCCAGCACCGCGTAGCAGCAGCAGTACTCCTCAGGCTCCGAAGCGGGCAGGAGCCAAAGACTTTCCACACATTTCATCCCAGAAACCTGCACAACGGGACAAGTTAACTTCTACTCCTTTGGGAGAAATGGGATCTGAAAATGTAAACCCAATCCCAGCAGCTGCTGAAACAGAGTCACGCTATCATGCTCTTGCTAGCATTTGGATGATCAAAGTCCCAGATTGATAAATTAATTAGTACCAGTATTTACAGGATTCAAAGGGAACCACTCCACTGGAATTCTATCACACTGCAACCTCAAGGTCCACTGATCCTAAAATACAAATCATGTCCAGAAGACAAGCTGTGGCTCCTCTAGAACGTTTACTCTCCAGAGTATACAGAATACTTCTAGGTAAAATTAGTCTGATTAAAAAAAAAATGGTGAACTTTAACCAATTTTTCCTAGCCAGTGCACAGTGCAACTGAGCATTTCTGCCAGGATAGGCAAGAGGATGGGAGAGGGCAATTTCCCTTCTTTCAGTTGCATGGACGGTTTTAACAGCTCGAGGTTTTCAATGAACCACAGCACAAGCCACAACAGTAAGCGTTAGACTCCACGAAAACAAGTAGCTTTACACGAGACAGCTGCTGGGGACCGAAGGGTGCAAATATACAACTGTGTCATTTACCTACGAGAGAGCTGTAATAAAAAGGGCACTACTGTAAGTAATTAAGTGGCTGACGTGTAGTTTTGATGACTTCCATGCAATTTAATCCTAATGATAATGTGTTTGATATGATCATTTCCAGACACTGACTAGAACATGAACAGGCACATACTTGGAACAGCTGCAATCAAACTCATTCTCTTTTGGCAACAGCTTGATTCACCACACAAACAAATCTCACGTTTCCCTTCCATCTAAAGACAACTTCATCAATATCTATAGCTTTGGGAAATCAGCATGTATGTTTCCCTCCCCAGGTCATATAGCCTACAGGGCCTTATTCCAAGAGAGCAGTGATACAACAGTGCGTGAAATCCTCCACATGCACATCCAGGGCATGCAAACAAAAACTGTTCGCACAAAAGCGCACATAAAATACAGTACTTGTCCACATGCGTGTGCACGTGTAGCTTTTAACCTTCCGTTAAGCATCTGGCACATCTACAAGGAAGCTGAGTCCGTTTTCCAAGAATAATTCAGCAAGATTTGTCTATTCCAGAATACACCATGTTTATTCTAAATATACGTTTAAGCTCTTGAATGCATATTATAGTAAAAATAAAAGTAATCTAATAGGTATACATACAAGCTTCTCCCAAGAAGCTCATCATTTTTGGAAAAATGACACTAGCCTTCCAACGGGTAATGTTTTTTGAGGTTAACTTAGAGAGCGAGGCAAGCTGCACTCAATTTACAGACACAGCCAGTACTTGTTTTATCAGAACGCCAAGAGTTTAACACTCTACAGGACTTGGCTTTTCTGCACTTAACCACACGCTAAAAATGGGACTGAATTATAAACAATAACTATTACTAGAAGTTCTTTCTCGCCTCTGTCACTTCCTTATCATGTACTAGGATTCTTCTGGCTTATTTCTGAGTGTAATTGTAAGCTGAAGTTATCTACCCCAAATAACTCACAATTCAAACATGTAAACAAGTGACAGATGGATTCAGGCAGAAAGCAAACAATAACAAGGAAATATTAGTCAGGCCTTTGGTATGTCAAGCCATCAAGGGCTTTGTTGTTGGGTTTTTTTTGAAAAGTTAATAGCAAAGGAACACTTAAAGTAAAAACTTGGAGGAAAATAATGAGACAGGAATTCCCAAAGCATTCTTACTGTAAACATCATTGAGAAAGCAGACAGACATTCATTTGAAATTTTTATAAATGGAATGTGCGTTATATATACATATATATATTAAAAAAAGGATAGTATCAATGTTTGTGATAGACACTGAAGATGATAGTGCAGCAAAGATGGATCAGGAAGTGCCTCCAAAGTAAAGATACCAGACTTATGGTGATGAGTTATTTGATGAGGAATCAGAGGAGCTGTAGGGGAGAAGTCAGCAGAAGGCACACATTGAGTGAGAAAATTTCTTCCCGAGTCTGTTGCTTTCATTCTACCAGTATTTGCTACAACGTTTGGAATGAAGATGACAGGATAAATATATCTGTACCTATATTTACAACAACGTACTTAGAAACATCTTATGACAGTTGTAAGAAATACTCCTCCCGGTCTTGATTGAGACAACCAAGCTGTATGTTACTCGGCATACATTAGTTTGTGTTTCAGAGTGCTTAATGTTATCATGGACATGGCTTTTAATTTCCAATTAAGTTATTCTTCCCCTTGTACCAGTCCCAAAGATTGCTCTACCTTAATGTTCCTTTTTATTTTACATAACACAATTAAGTAAAACAAAGGGAACATTTATGTCTTAATCAGAAAAAGAATGTAATTCTACCCTTTAATCACAACTTCTCCAGACACGACATACAGTGCGACTTAGCATTCGCCAGCAGAAACCTACCATGTTACTCTTGAAACAGGCAGGAAACGTAGAGATGAAAACTAATCATGAAACCTAAGCTGACTTGACAGGCTGATTTAATTTTAACAATATAAAATATTCCCCAAATTAAACGTATTATTTTAAAACGTCCTAGCAATATTTTAAATATTGATGCATTATGGAGTACCATGAGGACCACATTTCTACCTCTGTTACTACCACTTCTATGTCCAAAGCAAGCTTGCAGAGGAGCAGAGAACAAGATTTTGGCTCTTTGAAATCCTAAAACTAAACCATTAAAAAAAAAAAAAAAAGTTTGATATTTTAGCCTGGGGAAAAATCAAAGATGCT